ACATCATGGTGACAATAGTCAACCATGCTGTGTTATATATTTAAAAGTTGCTGAGAGACTAGATCTTAAAAGTTCTCATCACAACAAAAAACTGTAACAACGTGAGGTCATGAATGTTAACTAAACTTATTGTGGTGATCATCTCTCTCTCTTTCTCTCTCTCTCTCTCTCTCTCTCTCTCTCTCTCTCTCTATATATATATATATATATATATATATATATATATATATATATATATATGAGGTATGATCAAAACATAAAGTGAATGTTTAAATTTAAAAAATTATTACAGTAAAAGACACAGTGCCATTTATCCCCCTCAAAATACTGCCCTTCTCTTTGAACACACTTATCTCATAGCTCTTGCTACTTTCTGAAGCAGTTCTGGAAGTCTTCGTTCATGAGTGTCTTTAGTTGCACTGTCATGGCTGCCTCGATGTCCTGAATCATTTTGACTTTGGGGAAGAGCCAGAAGTCACATGGTGCCAGATCCAGTGAATAAGGTGGATAAGGACACACCATAATGTTTTTATTTGACAGAAATTGTTGTACCAGACGCGATGTGTGACACGGAGCATTGTCATGATGGAGGATGAAACCATTTGCCCATTTCTCAGGCTGTTTTCTATGCACATTGTTTCTAAAATGCTCTAATAAGCCTGATAATATTCAGGGTTCACTGTAGTGTTCCTGGGTACAAACTCAGCTGGCACAATTCCATCAAGGTCAAAAAACACAATTAACATCACCTTGATGTTACTTGTAGATCTTGATTGTTGCGCTTTTTTTGCATGAGGAGAACTGGGTGATTTCCATTGAGAGCTCTGAACCTTGGTCTCAGGATCATAACCATAGACCCAAGTTTTATCTCCTATGATGACATGTCTTAAAAAGCTGGAACCTGAAGTGGCATGATCATGCAACTCCAATGAAACTAACACAAGCTGTTGCTTTTGTTCGACAGTCAAAATGCATGGAAGAAATTTCGCACTGACTCGCCTCATATTCAAATCTGTTGTTAAAATGCCTTGAATGGAACCATAAGAGATGTTCAGATCCTCAGAAATGTCTGACCCTAATGGTCAGTCGCCTGTTTGACCAAATCATTTCACTTACTCTTTCAACATTCTCTTGGGTTTTTGATGTTGCAGGAAGTCCCAATCTCTCCTTGTCTTCAATTGATTCATGACCATTATGAAATCACTCGAACCACTTGTAAACCATCTTCATGGTCCCTGCAGCATCACCATAAACTAATTTTAACATTGTGTGTTTCTTAGCACTATTTTGCAGTTTGAAACAAAATTTCATGATAATGCGTTGTTCGTGATCCATGATTTAGGGCACACTTTAAAACACACCTTCTCTCAACCATAGCTCATACCTGACTAACTGCACCAAACAAGTCGAAACTTGTCACACACTGTTACTAAGATTCTATGTGCTGCTTCCCATATTGAAGATCCCTGCCTTTCTGTTGGATGGCACTCGGCAGTGGCATTCACCTTATTTTTTTATCACACCTGGTGTGTGTGTGTGTGTGTGTGTGTGTGTGTGTGTGTGTGTGTGTGTAAAACGTATATTGGGTCATCGGGAAAGTCATGACACATTTTTGCATTGAAAAATACGTCATGACTTTCCCAATGACCCAATATATAATATATATGTTATATATATAGAATCATGTTGTACACCTTAAATTAATACATGTTATATGTCAATTATACCTAAATAAGAGTGGAGGAAAAAAAGACGTCCCTTTTGGTTAATTAGAAAATAGAAGTCATTGATAAGCAAACTCATTTTATGATCAAAAAAAAATTCCTTTGTTTCACAAGTTTAAGAAACCACTCCATTATAAAGTCATAATGCTCACAACATCATGGGCCTGCCACCTCCCCCATGCTTTCTCTAGACCCACCTATATCTACTCTGCCTCTTGATCACTGAGCTCCATGCACACTGTCCTCTTCACTTCTTAAACTCCCAATCATGCACCCACCACCCAGTAAGCTTCTCTGAGATGTCTGCTGGTCTCCCTCTCTCTTCTCCTTCAGGATTCTGCTCAAATGCCACTTTATCAGAGAGGCCCTAATCAGCCAGCTGAACACCCAACTTTTGGCACTCCTCATTTCTCTTCCCTGCATTTTCACCAACTCACTGTGTTTCATTTACTTCTCTATCCCCAGTGCTTAACAAATATTTATTCAGTGATTGAATAAACAAGGACACAGCAACGTTTCATGTACCACTTCAGGGAGGAAATATGATACATGTAAAAAGTATTGCCTTTTGAATCCCATTCATAACTATTCACTGTGTGCCTGACCTTGAGACTAACCTTCCCATGCTTCAGAATTTTCATCTGTAAAGTGGGAATACTAAATATACTTTTCTGGTAAGTATTGTACTTGGCATTGAAAAAATGCTGGGTCTTATCCTTCCTTTCTCCCTGCCTCCTTTTTGTGGTTGGTAGCTAATGTGTCTGTGATTCACAAGTTCTGAGATTGCTGTGAAAGATAGGAACAATGTGTTGAGCAGACCTTTAACAATATTCCCAAAAACAACTCATGTGGATTCTGTTTGTGTGTAATAACTGATGGGCTGAATACAAGGCACAAAAGAAAACCTTCTCTTCTGAACCAACATAGAGACATTTGAGGATGATTTTATGAAGCTGTAGAACTGACCTGAAAGCATGATTATTTCAGAATAATGGTAAATCTGGGAAGCATTCCAAAGAGAGAAAAAAAGAAACTGAAGGGGAGTATGGATGGAGCAGGCACTTTACATTGAGAAAAGAGAACAGGAAAGGTCATGTCAGAGTGTGGAAGACCATGATGCCAGACTAAACAGACTAAAGAGACCAGATTTAATACTATTGTTATGAGAGAGCCACTAAACACTTTGAATATTACAAAAATATAAAATCATATAATGAAAATGGTAAATTCTGAAATGTTCACAGAGACTTCCGAAAGTCAAGCAATAGACAGTGCTAATGAACCCAGTGACATCTGTTCAGAAAAACAAAGAACAAGGTTATAAATGGGAATGTATCATATCCTAACCTTCCCTGGTCACCACTGTTTGATCCACCATAGGAGAAGAGACTTGAGCGGAAGAGACTGAAGAACTGCGTACCACGAGAGAGCACCAAAAAACGTCAACGCACTGGCACAAGGGAGCCGGAAACCTGGGCTCCAAGCCACATGGGCTCTCCTGTGGTCTGTGTGTAACAGCAGGACCCATGATGTGACCTCTCCCATCAAATTCCTTCTCCTAAGACTATCCTTTAGTCTCTTCTCTGTACTTTGACTCCTTGTTCCTTCTTCAGTCTAAATAAAGACATAAGAGCCTTATGGTTTCCAAAGCGCTGGAACTCCCCTTCTGTATACATGAGTAGAAACAGGAAGGTGACAGATTATTTAATGCACCCCAAAGAGGGAAAATATAAACTAATCTATTATAGATACGGCTAACAGTCTTTTCACAGCAGGATCCTGTAACAGGATTTAGCAAGGAATAAAAGTTTAAGGACTTAGAAAACCAATTAACTTAACTTTGAGGTTCTTAAAGTTATAAAAGTTTTGGCAGCTAAATAACAAGATAAAACTGGTATCTGCCTAAGTTTTCTGTTTTTCCTGGGTCCACTCTTCTCACAGCACGGATATGATTTATTTAGACTATCAAAGAGCTTTTCTAAGGTTCTCACAAGTGCCTATTATTGAAACTTGGTAACCATGGTGTGAAAGGAAAAGGTCATATTGATGAATTAAATGAATTAAAAACTGCTTGAGAGGCAAAGAGGCAAAAAGCAGGAATAAATGGCCAATTCTTATGTGGGGAAAGGTTAATGACTGAGGGCTCTCAGGCTTTACAGGACAGTCAGAGTTGTACTCAATGACCAGGAGTGGGAGTCCGATTCCTATTCCCCTGTTCTCTGCATATTGGTTCTTCACACAGAGCCCTATTGACTGAAGAGCATTTGATACATGGAGGAGATACAGGCAGTGTGTAGAAGAAGTGCTTAACATCTAGGAGGGAACAAACAGGTAATGACCAGTGAGTGACTCATGTAGAGATCCCCAGATATAAAGGCGAGAGAAATAAAATTACATTTGCATAATTTTATTTTCTAAGAACTTTGATATATACTACATAGAAATACACAGGCCTTTTCAGAAGGAATTTATGGTATTTGAATAAAATTACTTAATTTATTGGCATAAGAACAAATGTTCCACCCTGAAGAATAGCTTAAGCTGACATCCAGATATGCAAAAACCACAAAGCCTATTTTATAGACTGAGAAATGTAAAAATAATACAAGTGAAACTGATAAAAAAAAATTGAGAATTACTAACCTTTTCTGAGACAAACTTGAAAAATTGGTACACGTTTTAACAAAAGCACAACCTGACATGAATGGAAAATTCAGAAATCCAATACTCTAATTGATTAACATTAACCTTTTGTGACCCATAAATCAATCTGGCATTTTTAAAACATCATGACAAACTTAACAGCAGAGGCTCAGAAAAACCAACACACTCTTGCCTTAACCTCCCTTTGTCTCAGTTTCCTTATATGTAAAAAGGGAAATAACAAAACTTACCTCACAGGATGATGTTAAGAGTTAAGTGAGATCAGGAATGTGAGTTTTTAACACAGTAAAGGCAAAAAATAATGTTAAATTGTTATTGTTGTTGTTGGTATTTATGACAAACTAAACCCAAACAACATGCCACAGACAATCAAGACATTGTGACTTTCTTGTTTATATCATTGTTATTCTCAGTACTTAAGAAGGCATATAAGATGCTTTCAAATGAAGAAAATACCTAGCTTTAAAATATCTTTCCACTAACCAATTTTGTGAAATGGAAGAGAATTACAAGTTGAACTAAATAAGCCAAAAAACAACAGCACAAAACACCAGTAAAACGCTAAGGACATAATTCTTAAATGTACAAATAGTATAATAGGTTCAAGCTTACCGTGCAGACAGTATTTTAATAAGCTCCTTCCTGTTCTGTACCCGAAGATGGTTAGTCTTATACTTGCTGTCATCAATCAGTTCAGGCAAATTCAAAATCTAAAAGGGAAAAAAATTTAATGTCTAATTGACCAGTTTTTCATGTACCTGCCTGTGGGTACTAGTGTCCAAGCTCTACCATTTGCTCCCCAAGACCATTCCTGGCTGGTCTTTAATCTTCTATCAACAGGAGATATACAGCAACAGAGGGAAGCAGCAGGGAGGATCATGCAATTAGGACATAATGCTGTGACTGGGTTGGTCATTTATAAGAAGTTTTTACTAGAGTTAAGTGCGTGCCTACATATGGGAGCACAGAAAAAGAATCATCAGACCATCGTAATAAGTATTGAATTCATATATGAGAATACAGGAAAAGAGTTATCAGATTCCCTCAATAACTCTCATCTAGAGGGAGTAGGAAGAGAGATACAAAATTGGATAAGACTGACCTAATTCTGAGAACCAATATCTTAAGTGCATGTCTGCACTTACATGAAGCCCATAGTCAACATACATCTTCTAGGCACATTCACTTATTTGTTCTGCATGTAAATGAAATAATATCATCTGTCCCAGCAGTCCTATCCAGGATGTTGTACAAGGCACTAAAATAAAGGGAAAGTGTATACAGTTCCCCCAAATGCTCACCATTAAAACAATGTCAAATTAAAAAATATTCTTCCTATAGAAGTGTCACTATTTTTCTTTAATATCTCTCCCTGAAGGAAAAACAAACAGAATGCTTTTATATACTTCCTCTTTTGTTTCTCTTCAACAAAGCAAAATCTATCTTACATGTCCCTCTAGACATCTTCCAATTAAAAAAAAAAAGAGTATAATGAAAGTACCAAGTGGGTCTGGAATTGAAAAAAAGTTTTAAAAAGAATGTGTCTGAGGACTTCCGGAAGATGGCAGAATAGATAGATACTGTGCCAACTGCCTCCCAGGATCACACCAAAGTTACAATTTATACAACATTCAACCTTGGAAGTCCCCTGAACACTAGATGAACAGAACCTCCAAATGAAGGGCTTAAAGAGGAGGCCACGTAGAGTCTGGTAGGATGGGTGGAGACGAGAGAGGGCGAACCCCGTGAGGGACACCTCAGTGGTAGAAAGGATTCTCCGGCTGGGGGAAGTAACCTCTGGCCCCACATCGAGCTCACCAGCCCAGAGTTACTTTTCTGGGAAGAGGAGTTCCATGATTGCTGGCAGTAGAAATTAGTGAGGACTCTCTTTGCTGAACACGGTGAAGCTGAGGGTGGCTAGAAAACCAGTGGAGCTGGCACATGGACTCACTCGCCAGTGAGTACTCACCCAGTACCTGGTGGAGGGAGTAGCTTTGTGAGCGGGGCCCAGGAGCCTGCGGGGAAAGACTGAGCTGAGTGCCTTTGGCGCAGTACCTGGAGGTTTTGGGACCATTGTTCCCTTGGTGTAGAGCTTGCACACAAGTAGTGTACAGGAGGGTGTCATTTCCTCCCACAAAGGGTCAGGTCCGGGACCACATTGGTCCAGTGGAATTGGCGCAGGAGTGCGTGTGTGCGTGCGCATGTGGCCTTGGATCCCCACCCTCCACAATGCTTGTGCTTTTAGCCAGAGAAATGCCTGGCGGGCGTGCTCAGGCTCCAACAGGCTGCTCCTTGAGATGTGGGAGTGTGCGAGTCACCTTGAGTCCCCGCTCTCCACACTGCGCATGCAGGGTTGCCAGGGTGGCGATTGGCTGTCAGGCTGCTCAGCCTGATCTATGAGCAGCTGATTGGGACAGGCTGAGACTGGGAGTTTTCCTGGGAGTGTTGGGCCCGGAGCTGTGTGCCTGTGTGATCCGGTTGGGGCTTTCCTGGCAAGTTTGTGTGGGCTGGTTGCCAGTGCAGGAGTGCATGCTGCTCTGACTTGGTGGGGGCCACTGACCACATCCTGTGGTGCCTTGGGGGTCTGCCCCGCCCACCTAGAGCTGTGTTACCAGGGGCACCCTGAGCCCCTGATGCCTAGCCCCCACCTCCACAGGCCACAGAGGGTATTTTGCAGCAGGAGACAGCCCAAAACAACCTGTAAGGATTTTTGGTGGTGAGTATTTTTCCAGACCAAACACCAGCTAATTGTGGGAAGCTCACTGCAAGCCTGAGAGGGAGGCTAGTGCATGATGTGTTGAGCCCTTCCCCGCAACATAGCTGGAGCTGAGTCACCCAGAGAGACTCTATTGCTGAGCCAGTTGTCTGCAGATTAAAGCGGGGCAGAGAGCCTTTTTCATTATTTTTTTTTCCTCTTTTTTTCCTTCTTTTTTTCTTCCCCCTTCTTTCCTTTATTACTTCTTTTCTTTTCTTTCTCTTTCATCTTTTTCTTCCTTTGCCTTCTTTTCTTTCATCTGTTTTCTTTTTGTCATTGTTTCTCAGACTTGTTTATCTGGATATTGCTTTGGTCACTGTTTTTCTGTCTTAACTTTTTTTGCGTTTGTGTCTGTGTCTCTTTTATATACTTTTGTTTCTATTGTCTGATCATTGCTTATCGAGTTTCTGTGGGAGTGTATTTGTGTTTTGGTGGTGTTCAGTTGCCTTGCTTTTTTTTGTTTTATGAAGTGGATATAGACCTAGCGCTGGTCCAGGAGCTGAGACGACACTGAATATGTAGAAACTACTGACCACAGACTTTACACACCTGTAACACCACCTTGCCCACCTACAGCTGCATTGCCAGGGGAAATCTGGGTGCCATGGTGACTGGCCCCACCCGCACGAACTGTGGAAAAGGTTTTTTACAACAGAAGGTGGTTTGCAGAGCCCTGGGGTCATCTTCATGGTGTTCAGTGACCACAAACATGCACCACAGCCACTTGGAGGCAGCTTTCATGAATTTGTGAGCGCGAGGTGGAAACTGGTTGTACATGATACAAGGGAGTCACAGGCCAGGTATTGGTGTAAGACCTGAATCTGCATTAACGTCTTAAAAACTACCAATCATGTTGCATAACTCACTTGAACTCCATCCTGCCAAGCTAGCACCACATCACAGAGGCATCCTCAACACCAGGTCAAATAGCCAGACACACATCCCTAAAGAGCCTCTTTCTATAGGTTGTCCTTACCGGCATCTGATAGCTGGCAACAGGCCTAGGGGGCCCTGGGCGTTTTCCTAAGCTGCCTCAGGAATGATATATGGGGGCAGCCAGCTTCAGTTCACACAGAGACCATCCCCACATGACCCCAGGTCTAGCACAGGCAGCAGCCAACTGCGTACAGCCTTGAGGCACCTATCAGGTAGCTACGGACTGGTAACAAACAGGTCTGAAATGGCTCAAGAGACACCAGAACCAATATACCCAGAGGCCAGTGTTAGACAAAACCAGAGTACTACCTGGTTGAACCTACAAGTGGCACCCTCAAAGGACATTTTCCACAGGCACAAGAGCCCAGAGTGGCCAAGCCTCCTCTGAGGGGACAACCTCCACACAGCATCTTGTATAATATGAATAGAGCCAATTCTCTCAGCTAATCAGTCTGAGGGTCAATCCCACCCTCTGACAAGCCAAAAGCAATTAAAGAGCAACTTCAACAGCAACACCTCTGGAACACACAGGACAGGAGAATACAGAGACTGTGCTATCCGAATATAAAGGACACATACTATAAGAACACCCAGCAACCACGGAGAGACATAGGTGATCTATCTAATACATTGAAGCAGTCACAGTGACAGCCAGAATGAAGAAACAAAGAAACATGTCCCAAGTAAAAGATCAGAAGAAACCTCTAGAAATAAAACTAAGTGAAACAGAGATATTCAACCTTTCAGAGACAGAGTACAGAATATTTAATGAACTTAGGACATAAAGAAGGATAGAGAAATTATAAAAAACAACCAGTTAGAACTAAAGAATACAATAACTGAAATGAAGAACACACTCGAAGGAATCACCAGTAGATTAGATGAAGCAGAGGATCGGATCAGTGATTTAGAAGACAAAATAGCAGAAATCACCCAGTTGGAGCAACAAAAAGAAAAAAGAATAAAAAAACAATGAAAATAGTTTAAGAGACGTGTGGGACAACATCAAGTGCAACAACATTCAAATCAAAGGAATACCAGAAGGAGAAGAGAAGAAGCAAGGGATCGAGAATGTATTTAAAGAAATAATGACTCAAAACTGCCCTACCCTGTTGAAGGAAATCAACATACAAGCCCAGGAAGTGCAGAGAGTTCCAAACAACTGAACCCAAACAGGTCCACACCAAGGCACACCATAGTTAAAATGGCAAAGGTCAAAGACAAAGACAGGATCCTAAAAGCAGCAAGAGAAAAACAGCACGTTACATACAAAGGAATTCCTATAACACTAACAGCTGACTTTTGAACAGAAACTCTGCAGGCCAGACGGGACTGGCAGGGAATATTCAAAGTGACACAAAATAAAGGCCTACAACCAAGATTGCTCTACCCATCACAGCTATCATGTAAAATGGAAGGAGAGATAAAGAGCTTCTCAGAAAAGGATAAGCTTAAGAAATTCATTACCACCAAGCCAGCATTGCAGGAAATGTTAAAAGGGTGTTTTTAAACAGAATAAAGGGAGGAAATAGCTAACCCAGGAAGACCAGAAATACAAATAACAAAATGTCAATAAATATGCACCTATCAATAATCACTTTAAATGTGAATGGGCTAAATGCTCCAATCCAAAGACATAGAATGGCTGAGCAGATAAGAAAAGAGGACCCATGCATATGCTGTTTACAAGAGACTCATCTCAGATCAAATGACACACACAGACTGAAAGTAAAGGGATGGAACAAGATATTTCACGCAAATGGAAATGAGAAAAAAGCTAATGCAGCAATACTTATTTCGGACAAAATAGACTTTAAAATGAAGACTACAATAATAAAAGACAAAGAAGGACACTACACAATAATAAAAGAATCAATTCAACAAGAGGACATAAGCCTAGTAAACATCTATGCACCCAACATAGGAGCCCCTAAATATATAAAACAAATTTTGACAGACATAAAGACAGAGATCAACAGCAACACTATCGTAGTAGGGGACTTCAACACCCCGTTGTCA